ATTAGGGGGAAAGTACAGTTTTGTTCAGATACCATAGACTTAAACCAAAAGATCCAATCCATTGAACCTCTAACAGTCCAATAAATCAAGTTTGTAATAGTTAGTGGAGTATACATACAGAAGAGCTATCAGACAATTATTTTCCTATTTAAAGGATATTTTTATAACATAGTTCAAGAAATCAATTTGTGGTTAACATATGTTTACTCTGAATGGCACTGGAACATACAATATATCCAAATTTAGAGGCTGTCCATTTAGCTGAACTAAAAAAAAAAAAGACCATTGGGAGAACACTAATGAATATGGAACCAGTTTTCACCACAGCATATAGCATTTAAAGAATTGCCATCAGTTTTGTTTCCTGACAACCTGACTGAATAAGAGAAGCTTATTTGTTGTGTGTTGCATGAATACAACAGCTGGATGATGATTCACTTTAATCAGTTTCAACATTTTCTCATTACCCCAGAGTCTGGACCTTTAACATTCAGGTCCTTCCCATGTGTGAACTCAGTGCCAAGCCAAGTTCCGTTCCCCTGCCCCTGTGTCCTTGCAGTTCTGTACCCAGAGGGATTGCGAATTTGAAAGTGAACCAACTATAAACTTAGCCTTTTATTCCACAGGAAATGTTATGAAACATGGGTGAAGAATGAATGAGGGCAAGGTCCTAATTGGCTGTCATTTTTAAGCCCTCCCATTGGCTGGCTGGAGAGAAGCCTGATAGGGGACGGAACTAGTGGGGGTCACTTGCCTGGAACTCTGAAATTGTTCTGGGCCATTGAGGGGCAAGGTTAGCAGGATATTCTCCATGAGGACTCAGGAAATCCAAAAGTGGCTTTGAAGGAGAAATTCATACGTATATTTTTAATGTTATTCCCTTTCATGATAAGCAACATAATACTGTATGAAGAAAAGGAGAATGAAATAGCAAGCAAAAAATAAAAATAAAATAAAGGCATAAAGTAAGAAAAAGGAAATTCCTGTATTGATTTTTTTCCCCTTGAAATTTATGTATCATTCATTTTAAGCATCATTCTTGGTCTTCCTCCCTTCCCACAACCCATTACCTATCTACCTTCCTTCCTTCCTTCCTTCCTTCCTTCCTTCCTTCCTTCCTTCCTTCCTTCCTTCCTTC